CCCACGTCCGGCTTTTCAAGGCCCGACACCTCTTTGAGCTGAGAAATTAGGAAAATGGAGTCAAGAGCATGGGCAACCCTTACCCTACAACAGAGACAGAAGTTTCTACAATCTGAGCGAGGGAGGCTTAGCAAACAGAGTCCTGCCTATCCTGGTTCGCAGGGTAACTAGAATTGACAAGCAGGGTAGGGCAGCCATCAACCGAATCATGGAAGTTGATGCTGATGCGGAAGTCAATACAATCCGCATTCGCCAACTACAATCTGCTCATGGAAGAACTTGATGGGTTTTATACAAACAATCCTATGTGTGCATGCAACCCTAGAGTTGGATCTATGTTTTCACTATTAGTTATACAACTTGATGAACACAAAAAGAAACCTGGCATGCTAGTATTATTTTCGAAATTCATATATAAAAATAAAATACATACCTTTTGTTGTTATATAGCAATAACAACTATTTCCTTGAATTTGATTAGCTCTTGAAAGCAAGTACCACAAGTGTAGTACCTCTGATGGCTCACAAACACACTAGGTGAAAGGATGAATACGGGAGAGAAGAGAGAAGGGTATCTTGCCCTATATTTCGTCCCTTTTAGAGTTTCCCAAGGCTTGGACGAAGTCTTAGTGCCTTAGGGTGCTATTTATAATTAAGGCTAACTAGGGTTTCAAGGTGTAAACCCTAATCCCTTAGCTTAGGGCCTAAGCAAGTCCATGGACTCCTTTCCATAAGCCCTTGGATGAAAACTCCTAGATCCTTATAGGATTTTCGTTCAAGCCTTAATAAAGGTGATCCAATGGCCCAAAGCCTAAACTATTGAATAATTACAAAATAGCCCCTACACTTTAAGTTAGTTCCTTTAATCCCAAAATTAATTCTAAATTAATATCTGATTAAATACTAATTAATAATATGATTCCAAATTAATATATTATTCATATAATATATTAAAAAATCATATTTATACCCTAATTTATTATTCTTAACAATAAACCAGCCTCTCTCCTCAACAATCATCTTGTCTAGTCACCAGTGTGAAGGCAACCCAAAAGGATCATGCACAATCGGCTCAAGTACATACCAAAATAGTTATGGACTTAGACATTAATCCAACAGTCTCCCACTTGGATAAGTCTAATAACTATTCTACGTATAACCTCAGATCCTGATTAGCAATCGTAGCTTTCAAAATCCGCTGTCAACTCTGATCTTATCAGAAGCGTGTCCTTTCGATAAGGGATCATATATTCCTCCATTCTTGATATTGTATAGACTTGAGACATGGATTTTGATCATTCTCTCAGTCTATGTTCTGTTTCTCGATTTCTGATTTATGATGACTGACAACAGACTACAATTGAACACATCAAATTAGTCTCGGCTTGGCCAAGCGCTTATGTTCCATTACTAAATCATCGAGGGGCCCACAGATATCGCTTTCATCCTACTTTGGATAAAAGGAACGGATAAACTTTGATTCAATGCTTGCTTGCACTCACTTACCGAATCACACACAACAATATGTTTTATAACACCAACTTACTGGTGCGTTTACATATTATCAATGTGTAACCGACTCGCAAGATACAACTCACACATCTCGGTTTCAAGAATATAGATGTTATCGTCTCACCAATCACTCATGATACAATTCATGAAGTGATCCAAGTGAGCGTGGTTTTAATCTAATGCTCAAATCATATTCATAAGCATGCATGAACGTTGAAGCAAACATTTGCTTATGTCTAATACACTTTAGACAATCCACACACCAATTCACGACAGTCTTCATTCATACCTACTTACAACATATGAACGACTGTGATCCGTTCGAATAATTTGATTATTCTGAAATAATTAATTATTCAGGAAGTCAAAACATGCAAAGTGAAACACAAGAATAACACTAATCCCATATGGCCGCAAACTCTGGGTATAAATAATTCATTTTATTTGATCACCATATTGATTACTCATTATTTGTTGTTTCGAGTAATCAACTTCTTTCTTGAATTATTACTACACTTGTCCCATGCTCTCAGCATGCACACAATGTTTACTTATGGTCCTTACTTTGTGAAACAGATCAAATGAACACATTTCCAATCATACTCATTTCACAACTCCCAATCCTTATCACAAGTGTAAGAATATCAAATTCTTGCCACTTATAGAATATGCTAGATTCTAACATTTTATGCAATGATCCTTTCGTAAATTCATAGCTCAAAATCATCAAGACTTGGCCAATATCTATCAGAAACAATTCTATAGATATGATGTCTCTCACTCAAAGTACATTCCTTTAAACATCCTTCTTGCATAAAAGTTTCTAACTAGACATAGATTCTCAATAATCAGCTCCCAATATGGAAACATTTCCATATTTGCCATATGACAACTCATTCTTAATAAAATCTTATCTATAATAATGTCGATATGGTCCATCCAATACCATACTTTCAACTACTCACAAGCGACCAATCCTCAGCGAGCTTTGGATCGTCCTTTGATAGTTGTTTAATTATTTTAGTCAAAACCGATTATTGTCCCTTTTCACTTTTAATGCGCTAGATATTTGGAAAATTTTAGAATGGTCAAATATTATAACATAGAATTGATCAAACTAAACAGTAATCATAGTCAAACATCATGTCTAATGATTAATCACACGAAAAGGTTACGTCTTGCGAAACTGAAATATGATTTTTTATCCTGACATGGCTAAAAACGAATTGCAAACATTAGAAACATAATCTAAATGATAAATTTTACTAAAAAATGAAAAGGAATCGAATCGTCTCCTTCGGATCTGCTTTCTTCACTTGAAAGTCTCTGAAAATCACCTTAGAATCGTATGGAATCGCCAATTAGGGTTACTAGACAACTATGTGAGTATATTTAAACCTCTAGCAGTAAAAACGACACACATGTGATCGCATGTATTGTTGAAAACGTGTCCCGAGCCTTTTAAATGAAGTACATTGTTGTTTTGAGATGTTTTGGCCAGTTGTGATCGCAAGTAAGGAAGTTGCAATCACATGTACATTCTTTTCTAATACTTTTGAACTTCTGGCATGAAAAATCTCTGAAGTGAAGATGCGATCAAAATTTTGATCGCATGGTCAAAGTTGCGATCGCAAGGATCATACATGTGACCACATGTACTCATTTTTGCCCCTTTTTTATCGTCGTTCCTCCTTCCAAGTGGTTCTTGATCATTCCTTAGCATCCTTCCTTAGTCTAGACTCCACTTAAGCTCCAAAGCATCCACTAACACATCCTGAACTCATGTAATTATCCATGTGCTCCAAAGTGCCCTAAAATATCATAACAAATGTGACCACTACGGGCATTCGACAACACAACCACGAAACACATAATATATAAGAATAATCGAGAGTTAGTTAGCTTTTTGTAACAAAATACCGAGGAAAATATTCTAAAAGATGCATATAAAATGCATCTAACAAACATCCCCAAGCTTAGACCTTACTTGTCCTCAAGTAAGGAAAGGATAAATGTGGTAACGAAATAGAGGGCAAGGATAGTAAAGCAATAACCTAAACACACTATTAACTAAAAGAAAACCTAACTAACAAGAACTACAGAAAATAAACAGAACAAGGAATAAAATATGCATGCAAAAACAAAACAAAATGATAAATGAACGAAAATGATATGAAAAAGAGAAAAAAACAACTAAAAAATAAAAAAATACTTTTTTTTCTTTTTAAATATTTTCTATTTTTTTAATATTTTTTTATCCCGTCAGACATAAATCGAAAAGGGCTCCAATCACTAATACCTAAGAAACCATCCTGCTACCTTTCATGTATCATAGACTCCCAAAGTGAGGAAGACCACAAAACAGTGTAACCCAATAGTCCAACCATAGTTTTATTTAAACTTTATACCTTAATTAGCTTTATGAGAGAAAATAACACAATCCATGATCTCATGTCCTTAAGGCTAGGTGGTCAAGAATTAGAATCGACGCATCCTTAAGAACCCGGGATGACCAAATCAACTTTCGTCGACGCAGCAAGGGCCAACCCCCATAGGAGCCCAAGCTCTATGCTTTCACTTTTTTGAGAGCCACAAGTATCATATCACACAGTTCTTCATTCACTAGATTTGATTTTGAAACGGTTTCTGATTTGATTGAACTTGGATTTGTAAATTCGTTTTGAGCTTAAATTCTTCAATCTACTTTTGGAATTTCTTGAAATTTCTTCGATTGAGCGCTTGAAATTTTTTATTTGGGTACTGGATATGACGTTGTATCATTTCTTCTTTCTTGACTGTGTGGATCTAATACTTAAGTTCTCTGTTACCGTGAGAGTAATGAGTGTTAACAAATAGGGCCATGTTCTGTGGGTCCAAATTTGTCGATTAAGATTCTTTTTAAGCATTCAACAGCAAATAATCCCAAAGTTGTTATTACCGCCCACAAAACGTTTCAGTACGCAAATTTTTATTATTATATAAGGTTGGGGTCTCGAATTATGGTGTTTGGGTCCCCTAGTTATGACAGTTAATTCTACATTTCCAATAACAATGAAGTCGCTTTGGATTTTTTTCATTTTTAATTACCAATATCCCACTTCACGGAGCTATCATATGTAAAGAGAGTCATCATCTCGAGTGTGTGTATATATATATATATATATATATACACACACACACACACATGAAATCAAAATAAAAACAAATATATATATATATATATATATATATATATATATATATATATATATATATATATATATATATATATATATATGCAAACGCAAAATGCAACAAAATGACAATATTTTTTTTGAAAAAAACTAAGAAGAAAAATGAAAAAAAGGACATAAATGAGAAATCTTTTTGGATTTTTTAAAATTTTTAAATTTTTTTTAGAAAAAACTTTATACAAAAGGATAGAAAATCCTCTCCCCAAGTTTAAAATTAAGCATTGTCCTCAATGCTTAGGGAGGAGTGGAAAATGACTACTCTGGAAAGGATGGAAAGTGATAGAAGAACTCGTCATAGAAATCGGTGAAGTCCTCGCGATAACCTAAAACCTCATCACAAAAGCCTGAAACTTGAGTGCTATAAAGTTGATAATTTAGGCGGAGACGAGTCATATTCTGCTGAAGTGCAGCAATATCCTGGCGGATGTCAAGATAGTGCTGATAAGTAAAGGGGAGTTGGGGTCAAGATGAGGTGGTTGGGTATCAGGATACGGACACACGGTGGTGGACGGCCCGGAGTAGGGTGGCATCCGTGTAATCACGGTTCACAGTAGATGAAGATGGTCTATCAAGATACAGACGCGCAGGGGTCTGTTGTGACCGACGTGGGCGAAGAGGTGGTGGAATGTTCAACGGAAGAACCCACTCAGTCTCGCTAATGGGTTCAGCGCAAGCGATGACATCAGGACCTGTGACTTTGCAATAAGTGGATCAACCTAGCATCCAAACATTCCCACTCAGTGCGGGACTTAACATGTGCATGGACCGAAGGTTCTGCAGGGTCAAGCGAAAGGAGTCACCCGAAAAGAAGGTATACTCTGGGGGAACCTGTTCCGCAATGGCGCGAGTAATGAGTGTGATCGGATCACCACAACGAATGGCACCATCGGTGTTGAGGTTTATAACTCTATGAAATCTTTTGACTATTAAATCAACAAAATAAGGGCGATACGATCAGGTGATCATGCACCATAAAAGGAAAAGCTCGGATTTTCCGGCTTTGGTGGTCTCAACCTACGTGTAAATAATGTTGCATATAATTTTCAATGCGGTTTTTAGAACTGGATGGACAATGTTGGTCTTAACGGATTGGGATGCCTCGTAATGGTCCAATCCTATGATGGAATGCCAAAAATCGCGTATGTTGAAAGCAGCGGTCGGCTGAGACATGTTGGTGATGGGTGTATGGAAAAAAGTACACAACTGGTCAACGTGGATAGAGTGAAGGGTGCTAAAATAGTGAAAAGCAAAGTTTCCTTCTTTGTTGACTTCACTCAAGGTAGCTAAAAGCTCTCTGGTCAGTAAAGGACAAGTGGGGAAATCCGCAGCTAAAAGACGCTCCCACTAAATATTGGCAAAAAGAGCACGAACACCATCATAAATATGGAGTTCCCGCATTAATGTGTTGTTGGGGGACCAGGTATGCGGTAAAATCTCTCGTTCAAGAAATCGTTGATAACAAGCAAATACAGCCTAGGAGCCTAAATCTACGGTCACATTGTCCGCCTGGACAATGTACGACTGGTCCGGAGTGTCGACATTTCGGCATGAATGGGAATGTCTAGGAGATATTTTTAGGTTAACTGCTGGGAGTGATCACGCACAATTTCCAGATAAACAATTATCATGAAAAAATAAAGTTTTCTAACTACTCCAAAAGTGGATACACAAGCACGCACGGATATGTAACAAAAAAAAAAAAAAGAGTTCGGTTTCAGAATGAATATACCTGATTGCGTGCTGAGCAGCAGTATATTTTTCGTGTCTGAAATTTTTTTGAGTTTTGAAATTCCGTCCAGATGAACCTATTTTGAACTGTGTCCGAAGCAAACATTTCAAGTTTTCAGGATCTACAGAGTGCTAACGTAACCTAGATCTGGAAAAAAAAAAACTCGCAAAAATTCAAATTTCAAAATGAGGAAAACAAGATTTTTGGAGAGTTTCAACCATGGAATCGGGATTTTGTTACTGTATATATGTAGTAGAAGTAAAATAGAAGAGATTGATACCTTTTTTGCTTGTTTTAGATGAAAAATGAAGGATTTATGTGACTTTTGGTGAAAAAACGGAAGAATCTGGAACTAGAGAGAGAAATGCGAGTTGTAAGGTGTAACAAACGAAGGCATAGGGGAAACAAAAATTGCGATCACATGGGGACATGTTGCAATCATATGTTCTTAACTTTATTTAAAAATCGGTGTTTTAAGCATTGGCAAACATCCAGGTGCAGCAAACTAGAAACATGCGATCACATGTTCTTAGGTTATGATTGCAACTTTTATAAAAATGACGTTTTCCATCATAACAGGTCTCGAGGGTGTAATATTCTTCAAAAATTCAAATCATGAGATCGAATGGACCTTGGTTGCGATCGCATAAACTCATTTTCATCAAAAATTGGCTCAAAAAATCCTCGAAGACCTCTTTAGATCAAAAAAAATCAAAAGTTGTGATCACAAGGATTGGACCTGCGATCGCATGTCCCACAAAACTTAACTTTTTTTTAAAAAGCAAAATTGCAAACTTTCTCTGTTCCTTTTTTTACGAAAAAAATACAATTCAATTAAAAAGAAACAACCTAATTAACTAGAAACACACAAAAATTGATAATAAATTGCAAAAATGAAAATCAAAAGCAAACGCCCGAGTTGCCTCCCAGTAAGTTGCCCATTTTTACTGTTGTTGGCTTGACGTTGTCGTCTGCACGTTTTTATAATAGAGGTCATTAGGGCTTGTTAATGAACTCCAGTACCAGTTTAAACAAGTGTACAGTCAAATATTGTGTTGAAGGTTAATTACATGATCAAGGGAGTCACCACAAAACTGGAATTGTTTTCTCTTTATTGAATTTTCCCAACCTTTAAATTGAGCTATTCTTTTATGATTTCCAATTTTTATTAGTTATAATTTTTAGAAATACCCCCCCCCCCCTTTATGTTTTATCCACTTGTCAATAATTAGTTCATGCCTAACGCAAAGACGCATTAGACTTTAGGACATGTCGCTCTGGATTTGACCCTGCTTACATGTACTACCTGTTAATGCAATACAGCAGGCTGATTTATATTTTTCATTGTTTAAATCATGCATGACAACGGTTTTAACAAATTGGCATCGTTGTCATGGATACGGCAAACACTAATAGTTTTATGCCAAGATCTTCACGTACAAGTGATCTAATTTTTGATCCATAGATTGACAAGACTGCTAGGAAGCTAAAGAAGGAGGAAAAACTTCGGAAGCAGCAAGCAGGAACCTCAGCCTCTTCTCCCCCATCACACTATAAAACACCCACACCATAAGGAACTCCCTTATGGAACGAACCTGAAGCATCATTCCTTCCATTTCCAAAATCACCCCCTCCTTACCTTCTAATAGTCCATTCACGAATTACTCACCTACCTCTTCTATCAAATCTGAAACACCTGAACCTTCTGATTCAAAACCAGAAATAGAAATCACCATGAGCGAAAATAGAGATGATGCTGAAAAGACTCTTTGAGAATGGGCAACACAAGAGGTTACCCAGCAACCTTTATGTATCACCTTTCCAGAAGCTCAAAACTTTGAGCTCAAATCCAGTTTAATCCATCTGTTTCCCCCGTTTAACGGCTTGAGAACGAAGATCCCCATAAAATTCTCAAGGATTTCCATGTCGTATGTTCTAGAATGAAGCCTCGTGCAGCTATTGAGGACCATATCAAACTAAGGGCATTCCCCTTCTCAGTTCAAGATGCAGCAAAGGAGTGGTTATATGACCTCCCGTTTGGTTCAATAACAAGTTGGAACAAGCTCGCCAATATTTTTCTGGAGAAATATTTTCCTAATGCAAAAGTGTCAAATCTACACAGAGAGATTATAGGTATAAAGCAAGGCAATAGAGAAGATCTCCACATTTATTCGGAGCAGTTCAAGAAGTTGTTGGTCCGCTACCCACAACATGGCATTAGTTATTATCAGTTATACTAGTGTTTCTGCGAAGGCTTGATACCCATGGCGAGGAGACTTATAAATGCATCAAGTGGAAGGTCACTTTCAAACATGACACCAACAGAGATCCAAGCATTAATCGAGAAATTGGCCAATGAATCAAAACACTCAGCAACTGAAGAAGAATGGTACCTAGACCAGCCAAAAGGAGTCAAATAAATAAGTAACGCCCATCTAGAATCTCAAATTTCAGAATTGGCTAAGGTTGTCCTTCAGTTGACAAAAGAAAAAGGTATTGAGCCAAAAGTCAAACCTTGTGGGATCTACTGCAAAACTAGGCACCCAACAGATATGAGCCCATTACTTCAAGAAGACACTGAATTTGTTCAAGCTATAGGAGGATTTCAGCAAAGTTCATTTGATCAACATCGCAACAACCAAGCTTGGGGAGGTCCTTAAAACAATAATTTTCAGCCAAGGCCTCAGCAAAACTTTCAGCAAAGAAATCAGTACCCGGCTCCACCTGGTTTTCAACAACCTTTCCAACAAAATCAGCACCAAAGCAACTTCCAACAACCACATGTTTAGTCACAAGCTAGTAGTTTCAACATGTCTTTGGAAGACATTGTTAAAAGTCTTGCTACCAGTACCTAATATTTTCAGAATGAGACAAAGTCGAGTATCAAAAATCTAGAGCAGCAGGTATCACAACTCGCGAACTCTATGAGCAAACTAGAAGCACAAACACAAGGAAAATTCCCATCTCAGACTGAGAAAAATCTAAAGCACAATGCATGTGTTGTTACTCTCAGAAGTGGTAAAAACTACAAAGGACCAGATCAGCAAGAATATGAGGAAGAAGACATTGTGGTTGCGAAAGAATCTAAGACAACTGAAGAGGTGCAAAAAAAGATAAATTTGTTGAAGTTGAGGTAATAAGTACTCCTCCTCCTTTTCCCTTGGGACTAAAAAACACGAAAAAAGAAAATGAGGACAAAGAGATCATGGACTTTTTCAGAAAAGTCGAGGTACATATTCCCATTCTTGATGCTATTAAACAGCTACCCCGAGACGAATTTTTTTTTAAAGAATTGTGTACTTTGAAAAGAAAATTAAAGGGAAACGAAATAGTTAAAGTGAGCAAGAATGTTTCAGCTCTTTTACAGAAAAAGGCTACCCTCAAAGTGCAAGGATCCAGGAGTATTTACTGTTCCTTGCAAGTTTTAGGGAACCTTTTAGTGACACGAGCAATGTTGGACATAGGAGCTGATGGGTTTTAGCCATATGAACATTCCTATGTGCACATACAAACCCTAATGCTTGGATCTAGGTTTCTCTAATTGAACATGCATTGAATCCAAGACTTTTGAGCAATAGATCTAGGTAATAACATAAGAGAAACAGATCTAGAAGATTACCTTAAGTTTCTTGCTTGAATCTTCTTGTCCTTGGAGCTTAGAGTCACAATTGTCACTCCTCTAATGGCTTACAAACACCAACCAGCAAGAGGATGATTAGAAAGAGAGGGAAGGGAGCTAGAAATCGGCCAGGGTTCTTCCAAAGACAAAAGTGCCGATTTCCTCAACCCCTTTGGGTCTATTTATACTTGTAAGGCTCCTAGGGTTTCACCTTTAAACCCTAATTGGATAACTTAGGCCCTAAGCAACCTAATACCCTAATGATAAGCCTTGGACAATTTCAAGGTCTACCCAAAGCCCTCAAAACCGTCCCCCTTTATCCTTAAGGGATTATAGCCCAAAGTACAACTATCATACACTTGATAGTTTATGCCTTTCTATTTAATTAATCTCCTTAAGTCACCAAATTAATTCCTAATCAATTTATGACTTATACTAATCAAATAATAATATTATAATAATAATATTTCTTCTCTCATTATAAATCATCCTGACAAGTTGCTATGGTGAAGGCAACCCAAAAGGACCATGCACAATCGAGTCAAATACTTGCCTAATATAGTTGCAGCCTTAGACACTATTCCAACAAGAGCTTCTATAAATTTTTTATCATACTCACTTTTTAAAACTATCGGGGTGGGGCCATTAAAAAGAATAGGAGTTATCATTCAGATGGTTGATCGTTCTCTGGTATACCCAAAAGGTGTGCTAGAAGACGTTTTGCTTCAATTGAATGAACTTGTATTCCTAGCTGATTTCTATATTTTAGATATGCGAGATGAAGAATCAACGAATTCCAGTTCCATTCTTTTGGAGAGACCATTTTTAAAAACTGCCAGAACCAAAATAGATGTTTATGATGGTACACTTTCAATGGAATTCGATGGTGAAGTTATCAGCTTCAATATTTATGATGCCATGCGTTAGCCTGAGGATGTTTCAGCCCTTAATTTCATTGATGTAAGTGAACCATTAAGTGCAAAATATTTTGAAATTACTAACCGTATGTCACTAGCATTAGTACTCCATAGAAATATGTCTATTAATGCAGCTCAAGTCTTATCAGAAAATTATGTTGTTGACAAAGAAGTTCATGAAATGGCAACTCATATGGACCAGCAGAGAAAGCTGAGGTATGGTACCCAAAATCTTAAATTATCAGTTTCTAACTCCAAAATTTTTCCTTCTGTAGTGCAAGCACCCTTCTTGGAGCTGAAGAAACTTCCAGATCACCTAAAATATGCATATCCTGGTGAAAAAGAAACACTTCCAGCCATCATATCCAACAAGTTGTCAGAAAAAGAAGAGTCGGAAGTGATCAAAATTCTAAATGAGTATAAAAGTGTGATTGGATGGACTGTTGCAGAAAAGGATAGAGTGACAGTAGTAGAGAACAAAGGAGACCTGGTTCCAGCTCAGGTTCAGAACAGATTGCATGTTTGTATCAAGTACAGAAAATTGAACGCTACCACCAGGAAAGATCATTTTCCTCTCTCATTCATAGATCAGATTTTAGAGAGGCTTGCTGGAAAATCTCATTATTGCTTCTTGGATGGATTCTTGGGTTTCCATCAGATCCCGGTTTCTCCTGAGGATCAAGAAAAAACGACCTTCACCTACCCATTCGATACATTTGTATACAGCCATATTCCATTCAGACCCTGCAACGCACCCACCACCTTCCAAAGGTGTACGGTAAGTATATTTTTTGAATATGTCGAGAATACCATAGAAGTCTTTATGGATGATTTTACCGTTTATAGGGACTCCTTTGATATTTTTATGAAAAACCTCATAAAAATTTTACAAAGATGTATTGAAACAGACTTGGTCTTAAATTTTGAAAAATGTCACATTATGGTTGACCAAGGTCTAATTTTGGGTCATATTGTTTCAAAAGGAGGTTTAGAGTAGATAAAAGCAAAA